TGTCTTTGAATTAATTTAAATGGGAGGCCACTGACAGATGGGGACAAATCAATTATTGGAATCAGACCAACCTCTCCTTCTGCAGATCCTGTTAATACTTCAGAGCTTTATATGTATCGCCCATGCCCGAGTCAACATTTATTTTTAAATCGCCAGTGCGTGTCATGTACTGGCCGGTCGGTCAGATGGTCAGATGGACGTTCGGTCAGTCACTTAGCCTTTTATATATATAGATAGATTACAGTGCCTTAAAATTCTTCTACTGCCATGGGATAACTAACTGGTAAAGTCACAGCTAATTTAAACGTTCCACTTCTTAGATTTCTTTGTGATTAGCAGAGAATAACAACAACAAAGTTGATATCATCATGTTATTTTTCTACTGGCAGTCTCCATGGTATGACCTGTTGGCTTTTTAAAAATATGTTTTATTGATTTTTAGAGAGAGAGGAAGGGCAAAGAATAGAGAGAAACATCGATGAGTGAGGAACATCATGGATCGGCTGCTTCCTGCACACCCGCTACTGGGGATTGATTGAGCCTGCACTCTGGGCATGTGCCCTGACCAGAAATTAAACCCGTGACCTCCTGGTTTCTAGGTTGACGCTCCACCGCTGAGCCACACCAGCTGGGCTGACCTGGTTTTTCACACACTGGGTGCCTGTCCCTTCTGCAGCTGTGAGAAGAAATGGGTCGTGAAGCCTGGTGTCAGTGATCTTTAGGACGGTGGTAAAGCAGGTCACATGACTCAGGCTTGAATCAAAGGAAAATGAAAAAACTTAAACAGCACAATAATTTAACCGAAGCAATTCGTTTCCTGAGCATTCTTGCTTTGCGGAGCCTTCTTTCTCCACCAGGGCACTTCTCTCTGTGAGGCAGTGATTTACATAATGGTAGAATTAAGTTGATTATTATGGAGGCCTTGCTGTAATCATGGATTAAATAGAAAAGTCCCCTGAAACCCATCACCTGCAACAGTAATCATAGTCAGCTTGAAAAATGGCTGAAATGCTTATTCTGCTGGTTTTCTGGTTGGCTGGTTCCGCCAGAGAGACTAAACTCAGCATGTTCAGTTCTGTTAGGGCCAAATTCATAGATTCAGTTCCCAAAAGACAGCAATGTCCTTCAGATAGAAGATCTTCCTAGTGTCACCCTGTGCCAGTAACACGGTCTACTTCCACTTTCTTTGTTGTTAATCCTAACCCTCACCTGAGGATATTTTCTCCATTCATTTTCAGAGAGAGTGGGAGGGAGGGGGAGAGACAGAGAAAGAAACATCGATGTGAAAGAGGCACATTGGTTGGCTGCCTCCCACATGTGCCCCAACCAGGGCCAGGGATCGAGCCTGAGGCAAGGTACGTGCCCTTGACCCGAATTGAGCAGAGGCAGAGAACCAGGCTGATTAAGGGGAGATGATGAGAGGGAAGTCAACACGGGGATGGAGAGAAGTGGGCAGATTTGGGAGGCCTTTGGGAAGTAAAGTTGCTTCTGATTAGTAGCAGATTGAATTTTTTTTGTGAAAAATACAGAGGACTTTTGGATCATCCTAAAATTTCTTGGTTTCATCAACAGGGAGAAAGTGCAGTCCCCAGCAGTAGGCCCAGAAGTTGGCATGTACTAAACATATTTGTTGAATAAATGAAAAAAAGAAAAAAGAAAAAATGCTGCTCAGATTACTCTTATGTATAATGCATCATGAAACTAACCCCAGCTAAACTTACCCAGTGTGACAGGATGTACAACCAAAAGGTTCCTGGCAACCCTGGCCGTGAGTAATTAGACCCACTTGGCCGAACTCTTGGCCTGCTCTGAGTGCAGGGGAAGTGAGGATGGCCAGGAGCTGTCACTGTGCGTCAACAAGTCCAAGACGCCTCACTTATGTAAGCTAGAGTTCCTTTCACGTTTTAAGTGAAACTATAGATTTTTTTAAAGGTTTTTTTATTTGAAAATAATTCCAAATTTACAAAAATCTGCAAAATATTACAAAAACATGGCCACCTGTTGTTACAGTCACTTATTGTTAACATTTTATTTCTTTTCTTTTTTCTTTTTTTACCTATACACACACACACACTTTTTCTGAAGGATTTAAGAATAAGTTTCAGCCTTAGCCTGTTTGGCTCAGTGGATACAGCGTCAGCCTGCGGACTGCAGGGTCCTGGGTTCGATTCTGGCCAAGGGCACATGCCCAGGTTGCCTGGGTTGCAGGCTCCATCTCCAGTAGGGGATGTGCAGGAGGCAGCTGATCAGTTATTCTCACTCATCATTGGTGTTTTTATCTATTTCTCCCTTTCTCTCTGAAATCAAACAAGAATAAGTTTCACATGTTATTTGTCTCTAAATACTTCTGTATGTATTTCCTAAAAATAGGTATGGGCCCGGCTGGTGTA